TTTTTCTGGGCAATGATGGGAAAATATATAGCAAAATCATTGCTCACCTAGAGGAAAATGAAGGACTGTTCAGCCCAAGGACCCTATGTTCCTGCTCTTTCTATTGCAGACATGGTATAAAGGAAGGGTACCTTTTCCTCCTACTTTGACCGGCTCCAGCAATGGGTGGGGGCAGTTACTGGTCTATTCAATGTACCACAGGACAATTTAGTATGACAAAAAGAACAGGAATATGTAAGAACAGCTGGCTGAAGAGTGTAGAAAGCCCTTGAAGACTAGGTAACGGTGGGAAATATCAGCCAGAAAAGACTGAAGCAGTGACCTCATACTGAACTAGCGTTTCAAAAAACTTTTTTTTACCAAAACCCAGGCTAGCTTTGAACTAACCACATAGCCCAAGGTAGCCTAGAACTTGCCATCTTCCTGCCCCAGCCTCCTGAGGACTGATATCAGTCCTTAGCATTTTCCAGGACTCTGCAGTAAAATGATGGGATGAGTTTTATTAACTCTGTGCATTTGCCTAAATATATACCTGGGTTCTTTAGGGTACTTGGACTAAACCAGGTCTGATTCCTAGAAGGAAAACAGCCTTTAAACACTGGAACACTCTCATTCCTAGAGCCTTCCAGTAGCACCTATTTTTCAGAATAACAGCTCTATTAAAAGGTAATTCACGTATCATGAAATTTATCCCTTTAAAGATTACAAGTCAGTGGCTTTTAGTATAGTCACCCAGTCATGCAGTCATGAATACCCAATTTCAGAACATGTTCATCACCTCAGTAAGTGACCCATGCCCATCTCAAAGCCCATACCCTTAATCATGGCACTTTGCTGTCTCATTGCAAGATTGTTGGAGCTCAGTGATGTGTAGGCACAGCACTAGACCTAGTAAACTGAAGGAAAACGTAGTGTGTGTAATTGTAAATGCTTCTTCCTGTGCATTTCCACCTCACATTGTTGATTCGCTCTCAACTTCCTAAATGATGTTCATCTAAGAAGAAAGTATAATCAAAGAGTTATTACCTTAATGTAGAAGAAACATACATGCAAGAGTTCTTTTATTTATTTATTTATTTATTTATTTATTTATTTATTTATTTATTTTTTACTTTTAGAAAACAATAGGCGAGGCATGGTGGCATATGCCTTTAATCCCAGCACTTGGGTGGCAGAGGCAGGCAGATCTCTGTGAGACTGAGGCCAACCTGGTCTACATAGTGAGTTCTAAGCCAGCTGTGGCTACAGGGAGACCCTGTCTCAAAAAGCCCCCCCCAAAAGTGTGTGTGTGTGTGTGTACATGCACATGTCACAGTGGAGATCAGAGGACAACTTTCAGTAGTTGTTTCTCTCCTTCCACTATGTAGGTCCTGGGGATTGAGCTTGGGTCGCCAGGCTTGGCATTAAGCCCCTTTACCTACTTAGTCATCTCACCAGCCCAGAAGAGTTTATTTATTTATGCATGTTTTTCTTCTTTTTTAAAAAATATTTTATTTTTATTTTATCTGTATGAGTGTATTGCTTCCGTGTATGTGAGTGCACCCGTGTTGTGCAATGCCACAGAGGTCAGAAAGAAGGATTTGGATTCCCCGGAACTGGAGTTAAGGATGGTTCATAGCCGCCATGTGGGTGCTGGGACTCAAACCTGGGTCCTCTGCAAGAGCAGTCAGTGCTCTTAACCGCTGAGCCATCTCTCCAGCCCCTATATTTTTCTTCTTTTTGAGACGGGGGCACCCTCTGTAGCCCTGGCTGACCTGGAACTTGCCATGTACACCAGGCTGGCCTTAAACTCATAAGATCTTCCTGCTTCCCAAGTGCTTGGATTAAAGGTGTGTGCCACCACAGCTCAGAAAAGTTCTCTTAATAAGCTTAATATAATTGAATAATATGAATATGGCTTATTTTTATGATAAGGCAAGATAATCTTGATAATCCAAGCCCTGTGGAAACTCCAACTCTTCCTCCTCCTCCTCTTCCTCCCTCTTCTCCCTATTATTATTATCACTATTATTATTATTATTATTATTATTATTATTATTACTGGAGGGTGCTGGGGATTAATCCCAGAGCTTTGTATATGCTGTATAAGTACTCTGTCACCATTGAACTGCATACTCAGCAAAACAAACAAACAAACCAACAAATACCTAACTTTTTTCTCCTTAATTTTTCACTTAAAGTTACACAGGAAAGCCTGTGGAGTGTTTACCATAGAGCTGCCCCTAGTGTAGCAATCAGATATCTAAAAGATCATATTGATGGGCTGTCTAAATAACAATCTGTTTTGCCCTTCAAATTTAATGACAGGATCGCTTCAAGTCACAGAACAAACTGATTTCCTTCATTTTGTTTCACTTTCCCCTTTTGTAAAATGAGTTATTGACA